ACTTATTAAAATGGAATGGAATTAATGGTATTATAATTATATGTAACCTTTTTTGGCTAGGATACTATGCAATACAAGACTGCTTCATTTTTTTTCTTTTCCTCTCTTAGGTGGTCTTCGGGGGGTTCTACGAGGTGGTCTAGCAGGACTAACAGTTACCAGCCTCTATGCACTATATAATAACTGGGAGCACATGAAAGGCTCCTTGATTCAGCAGTCCCTCTGAAGATTTTGCCAACTTGTGAATGGAGGACACTTTTTGTAGTCATCCGAACAACTGTTAAGTCAGCTGGAGTTGGTATCTCTTCTACCTACAGTAAGCGTAAAAAGTTGGAGATTCTGTTTTGCCGAGATGAAGACTATTGATGGTTATCAGGACTGGCGTTTCTAGCTATGAGTGAGGAGGAGTCAAACTTCTTTGAAGGCTCACTGGGTAACATGGTTCTCTTCTTTGGAGACCTTGCACATAATGCCCCTTAAATTGTAAAACTGTGGACTCCCAGAATTCAGGCCATGTTTGTCATCAGTACTCTTTGACCAAGTTTGTTGATTTAATGATTCTAAACTGTAATGTTCCTCTGTATTCCCAATAAAGGATGAAAATAGAACCAAAGGCATAACTCCAACAAAACATAGTGGATGTCTCCATTTGTAAGCATTTATCTGGATATAAAGTGAACGCCACTGTTGCCTTTTTGTGTGTCCCTGTTGATCTAAAACATGTTTTCATGTTCATGTTGAAATGAGGGGTTATTGGTGGCACTGAACGGAAGAGTTTTCCCCAAGGATAAACACTGAAATCTCATCGTATTTCAGGCTAACCATTCTACACATAATGTGCTAGAATAATCTAATAATCACACGTGTGTGCGCATTAACTCATCTCTTTATTGGGGATAATTAGAAAACGATTAGATAAGCACTTTAATTTTCTCAGGGAAGCCCTGGGAATGCCAAACAAAGTAAAAGCCAAGTTAATTTGTTTCCTTATCTAGAAAATAAAGTTAACAGATAGTAAGTTTGTTGTTGCTAAGTACCATCAAGTCTGTTCCCACCGACTCAGCAATGCTGTTTACGGCATCTGAACCCCAAACCTTGGGGTTCAAACAGACCTTGAGGTCCAGTCACACCAAAACTCTGAAAAGGTAAGCCTAAGATCTTTTGGATATATCTGGCAGTAGGAAATCAGGCAGAAAAACACTGATCATTCAACTGAAGTCTGTTAAAAAATATCTATGCAATCAGACACCCAAGTATATAGTTTTAATATATTTTATCTTCAGTAGAATAGATTCAAAATTAAAGGAGTAGATGTGAAGAGTATGCAGGAAAATAGGCTGAAAATTGAACTTGTGGATAGGACTAAATTTGCTAATTTCAAATTTATGAAATACACTATTTTTAGTAAATATAAAAACAATATTTATATATTCAAGTTGTTTCTCAGCTGTGTCCCTGACCAAAGCTTCCATTTTTAAATGTGTTAGCATATTTTGTGACAAGCGCACACGACGGAGACAGTGATTAGGGTTTTAATGGAGAGAGGCATAAGATTCATCAGTGCTTTCCATGTGAGTGCAGTGGTTCATAGAAATTTAGGAGTAAGAAATTGCGTTTTCTTTGGGAGGGTTTGAAAATAGGAAAAAGGCTCCTCACGTTTTGTTTTTTTATCCAGCTCCCTTATTATTACAAGTGGTATTATCTGGGGGGTCATGAGGCTCTTTCCAGCTGTGGCCCAAAGGATTCTAGTGAAGCTGTGGGACTGAACTTTCCAATCACAAATTTTTGAAACTCCCAACAACAACATGTAAGCAGTTAGGTGGCGGTAGCTTAGTAGTTTTAATATCCTGGGAAAGCAGTTAATTCTCTGAAAATATTTCTCTCCTACAGAGAAACTTTTTTTTTTTTAAGTTTTTAAAGTATGGGCTTTAAGGATGAGAAATAGTTCCATAATGCTTCAATAAACACCCCAAGGCACAAATGTTCAAAATAGCTTGTTGACAAAATTGTTTGAGGTGTAGGCAATGTATGCTATGCTTACAGTACGGACTTATCATGTATCCCTAGTTAAGAGCTCTGGTAGCATAGTGGTTATGAGTCGGGCTGCTAACCTCAAGGTCAGCAGTTCTAACCTACCAGCTGTTCCAAGGGATAAAGGTGAGGCTTTCTGCTCCTGTAAAGATTTACAGCCTCGGAAACCCTACGCAGTGTCACTGTGAGTTAGGATCGACTCCATGGCACAACAGCCACCACCGCCACTTAAAAGCACCAGGTGTCAACCTCGGCTTCCATTTACATACACAGGATGCACCAATGATCTCTAAAACAGTAAAAGTTCAAGTACAGTTTCCAACTTTTTGCGCTTTGATTATTCAGAACTGGGCCTCTGCCCTGTAGGTCTGCAGAAATTTTGAAAGAGGCTAGGACTGACTGCACTAACTGGTTTTTCTAAGAGTATGAATAACTCTTATGGATAACAGCAGCATCTAAGACCTGGCAGTACTTGAGCTTCTTTCAAAACAGTAACAGAATTTGTAAGCTAATTATGCTTTATAATTAATATCCAAAATTTCCAAGATTATTATTAGACATTTTGGTAGGGAGGAAAAAGACAAGGTAAATTAATGTATGAAATATACATAATATTAATGAGACAAAATAATTACTTCATACAACTAATGAAAAGAAGCAAGGGAATTAATTATCCAAGTAGGGCAATCAAAAGCCTAAGAAACTTTCTACCTTTGTAATATAATCAACACACTGTGATTACAGAAAACTCATTTTGGAAACTAGTGCTTTAATGTACCTCTATAATCTAAGGAGCCATGGAAGCTTGTGAAAAAGACCTATCCACCATGTTTATAATGAGGTGTGAAATTCAGTAATACTTCTTTAAGAAGGAACAGAGCATCCTCAACATCAATTTAACAAACAGACATGTTTTTCTTCACTAGTTCAAAGTTAGGCAGGAAAGAAAGGAACAGATCCAGAAACACAATTTGGCAAGGTGTGGTTGTTCATCTCATGGGTATGCGATAATCTGAAGAGGAGAAGCTGCTTGATTCGTATATTCCCTTCACATCTGCAAAGAGAAGCCCACAGATAAGTCAACTCATTGTAAGATACAAGCAAGTCTATCCTATCTTGTATATTTGATCTGAAAATTGCCTTGAGCTAGCTACATCATCTTGAAAGAGGTAATTTTTTAGTGATTTTTCATAAAGCAAAATTGAAATTTTTATGATCTCCCTCTCCTACCATCACTTGCCTAATATACAGAAACAGGATTCAGTGAGAAAAGTATGATTTCATATGTAAGACAAAATATTAATTTGTAAGCAGCATTAAATCATACTGATAGCCTATACCCACCTGTAGAGGAGTTCGATACAACCACTTCTCTTTATCAGCTTTAAGCTGCATACAGGCAAAGAGATCACAAACTGCTGGAAGGCCATAGCAATCTGGGGGAAAGTTATGTTCCTCCTTTAGGGGTGATTTAAGCAATACTTCCTGCAAGTAGACAAAAAGGTTGGGTTACTATATGGTACGTGGGAGGCATGAGACCATCTTAATACATCTTCCACATAGTGTCTATAGGGAATAATTTAAATAATGTCCACTCCAATAACAGCAAAAGTTATTATTTCTTCTACCCCAAGTTTTTCCCATAAATAATAGTAAAATATACTGGGGTTTGTTTGGTTTTTCCTTGTAGGTTGGGAAGTAAAGGACCTGGAAAATATACCATAATTTCAGTCTAAATAACCATAAACTTAACTACACTGGTAAATGTTTGTCTGCACTCCATTCTGTTGCTATTTTGACACCAAAATTCTTAGCCAACCTAGCATTTAAAGGTCTGCAATTAAAGAGTGTAAGAATTTATTAAAAAGTATTTCTAGCATAACTATTTTGGTATTTGTGCTCACCTGGGCCTTCTTTCGAAGTAGCCATTTGTCTTCTCCAGAGGGTACCTGGCTGAGATTTCGTGTGTTCACTGGCAAGACCCAGTCAGCTGGATTAAAGGGACACCGGGAAGTGGCCATCAGACTCACAAGCTTTTGTTTGCCAGCTGTGTCCTCGGTACTAAGCACTTCCTTGGGACTTCCTTCTTGGCATGATGGTCTCATGAGCCACCCTGACAAGGGACTGTTCCTTATGACTTGAAAGGAATCAGCAATTCTAGAAGGAGCCATGACCTTTGGTGCCTTAACTTGTTCTGTTGCCTCTGTTCTGGAAGGACAGAGCCACATATTTCGGGAATCTTTAAGCTTTTCAAGCTCAGATTTTGGATCCACAGGCATCCCATTTTTATCTTTTCCTTCTTTCTTCAGGAGCCATGTACACAGCGCTTCCTTCTCACAATTTTCGTCACACACACATTCAGAAAAGCTTGTGCAGGGCTCATTGGCTCTGCATATCTCTTCTACTTTATATGGTTCTTGGTGGTTCTGGACAAGCCAATCCATGGTAACCATGTTGGGGGTGGACAACGGTTTCTTAACTTCTAAGTGGTCATTTAGGCACTTCAGATTGCCCAGGTTTTCAATTTCCACACCTTTGGGCTGGTTGCCCTGACAATTGGTACAAGAGTCAGGCTTGACAAGCCAATCACTAACATTGTAGGGCTCCTGGAAAACCTGGAACAAGAGCTGAAACTTTTCACTAGTTTCACAGCTGCCATTTTCAGACTTCTCCAGCTTATGGGGCACCTGGGGAGTCAGCAACCAATCAGAAAGGTCCACCTCATCTTGTTCAAGAAACTCTACATCTCTAACTTTTTCACCTTCGGAGAATGAGTTGGCAGAAGGACTGTTGCGCTTTTGGTGACTTGATTTTTCAGAAACTTCTTGCTGCTGACTCTTGAGAAGCCAGTTTTCCAAGCCCTTCAGGTTGCCCAAGACATTACTGAAGAAATTGTAGGCTCTGGGAGAGGTCTATATAAGAAGTACACAGTATTTATTAGTTTCCCAGAACCATTATGACTGCTTTGGGGATTCAAAATAGATCAAGAGTTTTGTTTTCATATTTACTATATTTTTTGATGTTTCTAAATTTAAGCATACCAAAAAACTGACTAGTATCTCCCTTACGATAATCCTTTACAAATAAAGAAGTTACATTCATCTAAGGCTAATGAACATAAAAACACTTAACTAATGGGTAATTACAAAAACTCAAAGGAAAAAAAACTTGCAAATGATATTACAGTTCAGGAAAACAAGCATTTTCAATAATTGTAAAAACAAAGTGATACCAGCTTATTGGAAAACAGTATATATCAAAAGTCTTAAAAGGAAGGGTATGTCGAATTATAATTTGAATAATGTAATTTCTGTGAGTTTATTGCTAAGAAACTAATAAAAAATATACACAATTAGCTACTGAGTGTTAAGGAATTTTTGTTTATATCCAGAAATAATTGAAATGAAGTAGTAGCCAATCAAAATTACTACTGAAAACTAAATGGCAGAGAAATATTCATGATACTTCTGAAAAAAACCTGCTTATATAGGCAAGCTTTCCGAACAATTATATATATATACATGCATGGAGTCATGGAATGGTGTTGCAAGTTAATTTGCTGGACTACAACGATGTTTTCAATCCCAAGATCAGTGGTTTAAGCTTACCAACAACTCCTTGGAAATGCTAGAGTCGGAACTGACTCGACAGCACTTAACAACATATATGCATAGAAAAATTAATCTTATAGACAAAATGTTGTCTCTGCATGATAATTGTTTTGTGTTTCTTTAATCGTTCATAATTTTCTAAGCTTTTATAGTGCAGAAGTGATCATTACTATATTGTTAAGTTCCATGGAATCAATTCTGATGTATAGGGTTTCCAAGAAATGACTAGTGGGTTTGAACTGCCAGCCTTCTCCTACAATGCCACACCAGGACTCCATCATTACTATGGTAAACAATTATTAACTGCTTACAGACTAAGATCTAAAAACTCAACAAAGACATATACTAATAGTTATTAGTAACTAACCACAATTACCTCAGAAACATACCTGACTATTCTCCAAGGGCTGCTTTTGGGAGAGCCAATCCTGGGGATTGGCGCTGGGCATGTACACTGCCTGACGACCACTGGCAGGTTTGCTTCCAAGGAGCCACTCGCTGAGAGGGACAGCTGTGGTGCTGGCTGATGACATCTATAATGAAGTCATACTTAATTGCTTAATAGGGCAACGTCAATTGCAATGGAAAGTTCACCAGGGAAGCAGGGGACCTAGTTCTCTAACCTCGGCTTGACATGAACCAGAAATAAATCTCAATTTTCACAATTATAAAAGGAGTGGAGCTAATCGCTAGGATTCTTCTCAACTCTAAAGAACTAGGATTCTATGTTGACAACATCTTAAGAAGTTACATCATCTTGGTATTATAAAGAGAAGGATCCCCAAGAGAAAACCAACACCAACTAATGATTATTTCCTCTGAACCTATTGGGAGCAATTATATTGTCTCAATCTACATCTATAAGACCTCTGAATTTCTATCTGACATTTAAGACTATCTATTAACTCCATAAACTTAACTCATTACCATTGACGACTTTATATATATATGCTAGCAAAAAGAAATATAATGACTCAGTTATCAGACACCCATTATACCTGCTCTGGCACTGGGATATAACCTCTCTTCTCCAAGAAGGGTCCACTACTTGATGGGTTAGCATGAGCCAACAGGTGCTCAGGAATTTGCTACAAAATAAAGGCAGATTAATCATGTTTAGGCTAGGCTTTCATACCAAAGAGTAAGATTTTTATTCCTAACTTTAAAAAGCATTAAGCTGAGCATCACAATTTCACTAGAATATTCTTCAAACCAAATCCAGTGATCTATGAAGTGGTTATCAGATTTCAGAATTCTGTATCCCCTTGTAAGTGTTTGTTGTTGTGAAGTGCTGTGTTGGGTTTCTGAGGAGCAGTTGGTGAGCTTGAACCATCACCTTGTTGTACAAACTGACTGAAGTCTAGCACATTAACTCACAGCACTACACCAGGACTCCACCTATAAGGAACTATCATCATATAAAAAATCTCCACCAGAATGAATGGTAGAACATTACTACTTTAAAATCATTTTGAGTTAATGTCAAAAGTATTTAAAGAGCTAGATGTAAGATGAACGCCAGAGAATTATCACTGAGTCTATAAACTACCAAACTAACGCTCTAACTATAGATTTAATCAGAGCATGAAAGTAGTCCTAGTGGGGTGCTGTAGGATACGCAGTGTCAGTCTGAACTAGAAGGCTGGCGGTTCAAATTCACCAGCTGCTCCTTGGAAGGTCACTATGAGTCGGAATTGACTCAACAGCACTTAACAACAATCTGTGAGGCAACAGACTAACAAATACTTTATGATCCATCTGAGATCAACATTACTCACCATGGTCTTGAGGGACCCAAATGTGGTGATGGTCTGACGCAACGCAGTAGTGTCTGCTTCAAAGAGCAGGACAGTTGAGTCTTCTGGTTTGAGAGTCAAACTGCCCAGTCTAAGAAAAACAAAACTTGGTTATTTTTTAGGAATATCAGTTTCAACTTCATCCAAAATAACAGTCTATTTGTTTTTAAATACACTTTTCTAAAAAAAATTACGACTTACTGTATCAGTAGGTATTTATATTAGATACATAAATATATTAAGCAATAATCTTATCACAGTAAAAGAATTCAAATTAAATCAACACGGTTAATAAGTTCAAAGATGATTTTTGTGTTTTTTCATATACCAAAATTAAAACAAGCAAAAAGTGTCTGTACCTCTCCAGGCACACAGAGACTTGATTGGCTAGATCTTTGTTTGGGGAGCATTCCAGTTGATGAATAAGACAATTGAACTGGCCCAGTAACTACCAAAAAAAAAAAAAGAAGAAACATCAAGCCACAAAGATTTTTTAAAGCACCAGGTGTATCCAAATTAACAAAGAGCATGAGATGAGATTAAACTTTGATCCGATCTATATCAACACTTCCTTACAGAAAAGCCATTCTCTAGAAACTGGAAATCACATTCAAACCAACTACCGTCAGGCAGCGCCCTTACCCAGTAGAGCTGCTGGGCCTGTTGCTGCAGCGTCTCCTCTTTCAGTTGATAGATGAGGTCCACCTGTTCATACAGCCACACCTCACGGCTTCGAAGGCATTCCAGGTGACGGCTTATGCAGCTATGAATCTGAGCTTTCACCTACGGAACAGAGATGTTAGCTGAACTAGTGTTTTCCATGGAATGGTGAGGTTCTTAAGCTTTCAGGCGTCACAAATCCTGACAATCGAAGGACATCTATGGAGCATCTCAGAAAAATGCAAACACTAAAATTTTGCCTATAATTTCATTTTAGTGTCTATCCACGGTCTTACCAGAGCCCCAAGGACCCCAACTTAAGAATCCCAGATATAGAGGCATACCTAACAAAGTTCTCCATTAACACCCCACCTCCTAAGAGGATCCAGTTAATTTTGGGTATCCCATAGTAGCCACCACCTCAAGTAGTTTGTCAGTATGTTGCTGTGATGCTTCCTGGAAGCTAAGCCATGGGAATTTTAAATACCAGCAGGGACACAATGGTGGAGAGGTTTCAGCAGAGCCTCCAGACTAAGACAAGGGAGGAATGGCAAACCACTTCTGAATGACTAGCAACGGAAAGCCTTCTGAACAGCAGGAGAACATTGTCAGATACAAGGAGGAGCTGGAAGGTGAGCTCCTCAGGTTTGAAGGCATTCAATATACAATGGGATTTTCTGCCTCCTCAAAGCTGCTGGTAAGTGCCATCAAGTTGATCCCAACTCACAGCAACCCTGTATAGGGTTTCCAAGGAGTGGCTGGTGCGTTTGAACTGCCAGCCTTGTAGTTAGCAATCCAGTGTTTATCCTACAGCGTCACACCAGGACTCCTCAAAGTAAAGTTTAAGGAACCATGTGGATGGAGCAGTACTTTTCAGGACCTTCATTTGCAGATGGGGCACAAATCAAAACGAGAAGAGCTGCAAACATCAAATAATGAGAACATGGAACGAACAACGTATGAATCTAGGAAAACGGGAAGTTGGAAAGTAGAGAGTGAAAAAGAGGAAGATGCCCAATGGAATGGCCTGCATGGTAGCAGCAACAACAAACTCATCCATTTTGAGGATGGCACAGGATCAGGCAGTGTTTTATTCTGCTGTTCACAGGACCACTGTAAGTTAGAACTGACTCAATGGCACCTAACAAAAACAACAACAAAGTAAGACACAATGTAAGAATGTGTGGAGATACTGATCTTACTCCATTTCCCATGTAATTTTAAAACCTATGATGTCTGGAATTCATCAGTGGAGTAACACCGTTGTATTTTAAAGTTAACACTTGACAGATAAATAACAACTGTGTCTTTTCCTACTCCACAGAATCAGCCATCTACTGAGCATCCATAAAAGAGTTGAGACGCGCCACCACATCACGTCATGGCACATGACAACGGCAGTTTAGGCGATTCAATTATGAGACTGAACATAAACAATGCCAAGACAACAAAGAAAAACTATAGCTGCTACAAAGTAACTATGAGACTCCATGGAAATGATTTTCAAACACATTTTTTTTTTCAGACTAAAAGCTGTGTTTCAAAATGTTAAAATTCAGGCTACATGTTTTTATTGATGATGTTGTTAAAGTACCCTCAAGTCGCTTTCGACTCATAGCAACCCTGAATAGGGTTTCCGAGGAGGAGCTAGTGGGTATGAACTGCCGAGCCTGTGGTATGCAGTCCAGTGTTGATCCTACAGCACCCCACCATGAATCCTTATTGATGTAAGTTGTCATCGAGTAGGATCTGACTCATGGCATCCCCACGTGTACAGAGTACAATTGCTGCACAGGGTGTTCAAGGCTATGATCTCTCAGAAGCCCATCAGGCCTATCTTCCAGTACACCTCAAGGTGGGTTCAAACTGACAATCTTTCAGCTAATAGTCAAGGCTTTAGCCATGGAACTCTAACCAGGAACTCCCACCAAAACGTTACTAAGGATGATGGAACTAACAGATTGCATTCTGACTTACTCTTACAAATTAAGTCAGTACGAGAACCATGACACTAAAATTCCAACATAAACAATGAGAAGATGGCAGGGGACGTGCGATCCTTTAGGTATCGAAAGGACAGAGCTGACCAGTACACTGCTCACTGGTTTAGCTAGTCTGTTACTGATGGCAGTGCTCTAGAGTGGTACAGAGTTTTCCAGACTCTTCTAACATCTGCTTTACTTCTCTTTGGTATCCAAGGCAGCTGACTAGGAAGGGATGAGGGAGATTTGGTTGGCAGTCAAAACTCACATGCTTAGCCAGGCTCTAATCAGCCCTGTGATAAAACCAAACAAAGGAAGGAAAAAGCACATATCACACCTCTCGGAGATTATCTTTAATTTGCTGTTCAGCCCGAAGAACTCCACCAATAGCAAGCTCCAAGTCCCTTCGTGCATCACAACACCTCAAAAGGGGTTCTCGGTTACTGGGGAAGCCACTCTGATCCTGTGAAATGCTCATTGTGCCTTTAAAAGAGAGAAGGAAAAAAAAAAAAATTAACAATCCAACCAATCCAAATAAAATTTATCATTGCAATCAAAAGTCACCTTTCAAACATTCGTTAACTGCTGTAAAGTGGGTTCTAAATCATAGTGACCCTGCATAGGGTTTCCAAGGAGTGGCTGGTGAGTTTGAACTGCCAACCTTGTGGTTCAAACTGCCCTTGAGGTCCGGTATTTATCCTATAACACCACACCAGGACTCCCAGTATACTCTTAATCTATAGGTGTGGTGCTATAGGATCAGCACTGGACTGCAAACCACAAGGTTGGCAGTTCAAACCCACCAGCTGATCTTTGGAAACCCTACGTGGGGTTGCTATGAGTTGGAACTGACTTAAAGGCATTTAACAAAACAACAAAGTACTCTTAATGGAATCCTGGAATGACATTGTAGGATAAACACTGGACTTTAGTCATTTTAACTGAAAGGCCAGTGGTTCAAACTCACCAGCCACTCCTCAGAAATCCTATACAAGATCACTATGAGTCAGAACCAACTCGGCAGCTCGCAACAAACATTACAATGTAGTCTTAGGGAAATGGGGCATGGGAGTATGTGTTTCTTTCTACCAATGCCACACAAAGTCAAGTGACGCATGTATTTCTGTTTTACAGATTGAGACTGAAATGTGTGAGGATCCAGAATTACTTTTAGGAAATTAGCAGTGATTTGACATACACACTTCAGAGCACTGTTTAACCCTGGCATTTGTCTACATCCATTGTTGTTAAGGACCATAGAGCTGGAGACTGTGGAGTTTCTGAGGAACGACTGGTCAGTATGAACCATGACACTGGGTCAAGCTGACCTCATGGTCCAGTGCATTATCCTAGCGCTCCACACCAGGACTCCATTGAGAACATTTTTATTTTTATAGTTCTTTTTTTTTTAATTTAGGAAGACATTCGGGGTACTGTCACAGGTGTCATCAATGTGTTGTTGCTGTTAGATGCCATCAAGTCACACAATCCTGCTGGTGGTGTGCCAGCCTCTCTCAATTGTTGCTCTGTTAGATCCCACTGTTGTGGCCTCTCTGTCAACACATCTCATTGAGGGGCTTCCTCTTTTTCAATGACCCTCCACTTTATAAAAAAATATGATGGGCTTTTCCAGGGAATGAGCCTTCCTGACAAAATGTCCACAGTACATGAGAAAAAGTCTCAGCATCCTTGCTTTTAAGGAGCAGCCAGGCTGTACTTCTAAGACACATCGTTTGTTTGCTCTTCTGGCAGTCATGTATATGCAGTACTCTTCGGCAACACCAAATTTCAAGTGCATCAGTTCTTCTGCAGTCTCCCTTATTTACTGTCCAGCTTTTGAATGCATACTGAAAATAATCATGTCTTGGGGAAAACACAAATTCGTCCTCAAAGTGACATCTTTGCTTTTAACACAGTAAAGAGGTCATTTGCTGCAGATCTGCCCAATGCATCATTTGACTTCTTGACTACAGCTTTCTTCCAAGGTAGGTAAAACAAGAAAGTCCTGGTATGGGACTGTAGGATAAGCACTGGACCACAAGGTCAATTTCAACTGCAAGGTTAGTGGTTCCAACTCACCAGCTACTCCTCAAAAACCCTGTACATGGTCACTATGAGCCAGAACCGACTTGATGACACTTAACACAACAGCAAAGTAAAACAAAATCCTTGATCACTTCAATCTTTTCTCCGCTTATCATTATGTTTCTTATTAGTCCAATTGTGAGGATTTTTATTTTATGTTGAGGTGTAATCCATACTGAAGGCTGCAGACTTTAATCTATATCAGTAAGTGCTTCAAGTCTATAATATCAGCAAGCAAGGTTATGTCATCTGCATGTGGCAGACTGTTAATGAGTCTTCCCTCAATCCTGATGCTGCATTCTTCTTCATGTAGAACAGCTTCTTAGACTATATGCTCACATACCGTCTAAGTATAATGAAAGAATTCAACCCTGATGCATGCCGTTCCTGATTTTAAACCCTCGTTCTGTTTGAATGACTGCCTCCTAAGTCTATGGACATGTTTGAGCTGTAGTGGATTATTTAATATGTCTCTCCTAAATTTAGTCTTTGTAACTCCCACAAAGACTCTTTTCCTGATGGGTCTGGGTAAAAGAAAGTTGGAGAAAATAATGACAGGATGACACAATTCAGTTGTGGATGTTAACAAAGTACACTGCAATTGTAAAAACTTTAGACTCTAGCATGGGTATAACATGAACCATCTCAGAAGCAGGAGAGGGAATGCCATTACCATCAGAAAGAGCCAGAGAACCAAGAACAGCAGACAACAACCTGAGGTTACCACACACATCCATACCACCCAGAGCTCATCCAGATTTGTCTTGTGCCATCAAGTCAATTCCAACTCATAGTGACACCAAGGGATTCGGAAGAACACCTGGGTTTTAACTGCTGACCTTGTGGTTCGCAGGAGTCAGATATAGACACATTCAAAATAAAACCAACTTATAAAACTGAAAATAGGGAAGTAGAGAGATCAATGTATAATGAAATCAACTACAAAGCCATAGGAGTCCTGGTGTGGCGCTGTGGGTTAATGCACTGGACTGTAAAATAAGTTTGATCCGCAAGGTCAGCGGTTCAAGTTCACCAGCTGCTCCTCGGAAAGCCTATACAGGGTTGCTTTGGGTCAGAACCGACTCGACAGCACTTAACAACAACACAAACCCAAAAGATGGAATAGTATAGATACAGAACTTCAAAATGGCCAGGAAATCAAGCAGATTGCTCAAGCTAAAACGGACTATTTTAAAGGGAAAAAATTAATAACTACAGGGTAACCTCAAAGAAAAATAATACACCTGTACATCAAAATTTTAAAAAGACTTAAATCAGAAAGATTTAGTAAAACTTTAATACAACAGAAATGAAAATGAAAAGCAAATCCTCAAACAAAATTACCTCAGCACAGAAAATTATGTGGAACAAAGAATTCAGCAGCACCACATATACACGCGCAAACACACACACACACACACAAAAAAAAAAAAAAAAACGCAGAAAAATGACAGCAATGAATTCATATCTATTGTTAATTACACTGAATATAAATGGATTAATTGTACCAGTCAGGAGACCTAGAGTAGAATGGATAAGAAAACAGGATCCTTCAATATGCTGTGTATAAGAGACATATCAAAAAGACAGAGACAGCCTATATGACAATCAACAGAAGAATGGTTAAACAAACTGTGGAGCATACACACAATGGAATACTATGTACACACAACATTGAAGAATAACGATTAGTCTGTGAAACACCTCACAAACATGGTTGAAACTGGAGGACATTATGCTAAATGAGATTAGTCACGAAAGTACAAATATTTTATAAGACCAAAGCTGTAAAAAGTAAAAATGAAAACAAAGGTTTTCTTGATAAAGGCAACAATCTTTAATGGTTATGGGGACAGAGGAGGGAAAATTATTCATAGGACAGAGGGTAAACACATGTTTACATGGGTGATAGGGCAGACAATATACAATAAGAGACAGGTTAGCAAAGAAAAGATGAAGGTAGATGGAGACAAAGGGAGGAATGCAACAGTTAAAAAGTGAATAGATGATGCGACTGGGGACTTTGCACCCAGAGAGGGAAAGGGACTGGGGGGAGGAGGGGGAAGTGTAGGGGGCGGGTTTCTGGGGATATACCCTTTGAGTGGTTGATGATGCATGGAGGGGAATAGAACCATGGCAATCGGATGATATACGATGGAATGAATGTAAAACTAAAGTTC